AACACGCCTTGCCTGGCTATTTACTTACAAGTTTGAAATAGGAGAGACTTGTTTAGAAAGATGTGGAGAACCTGGATTGATGTCTGGTCCCTCTCAGTCCCGAGAACGAACACACTCCCAAACAAAGAACACAAACAAAAGCCTTCCCCCCCCCAAGATTTGAAAGTATCTTGTCCCCTTATTGGTCCTTTAGGTCAGATGCTAGCCAGGTTACCTGAACTTCTTAACCCTTTACAGGGAAAAGGATTTTGGAGTCTCTGGCCAGGAGGGATTTTATAGTACTGTACACAGGACAGCTGTTACCCTTCCCTTTATAGTTATGACAGGGGCCTTGCCTACTGTAGCTGGGTGGTCACCTGCTCCTGCCTGGGTGGGCTTAAAACAGCCCTGGAGAGGGCAGGGGTAGGGGGGAAAAGCTGGGCTGATTGGGAAGCAGCCGCAGCTGGGGCCATGCCCTAAACAGACCCAGCTGGCTCTATAAAAGCCAGGGAAGCCAGGAGCAGACAGATTCTTTCTCTACCTTCAGAGGGAGAAGGGCCTGGCTGCTGAGGAGTGTACCTGGGTACCTAAGGTGGAGCAGGGCTGGGGGAAGGGAAGAAGAGCTCTGGCCTGGAAACCCCCCAGGCTGCTGGCCTTGTATAAGCCTGAATAGGTACTGAGGTTGCAGGGGCAGCCCAAGAGTAGGTAGAGGCAGCAGGTCCAAATCCTAGCCTGTGATGAGTGGCTTATATACTGCAGTCTGCCCCAATGAATGAAGGCTAGATGGGGCTGGGCAGTAGCCATATACTAAGGTGAGGTAGGTATAGGCGGTGGGGGTTCCCCTGGAAGGAGGAGACCCAGAGACTGTGGGGTTACTCCCAGGGGGCAGCACCCCAGTGGAAAGGGGCACCGGGGTTGGGGAGGGACACAGGGGCCCAGTGATAGTGAGACATCGGCTGACAGAGGGTTCTCCAAAGGCTGGAAGCTAATTCCCTGAGAGACCAGCAGGAGGTGCTGCAGGGATGAGTCTTGCACTGCTACACCTGCTTTTCTGAGCCCAGATGACCACAAGAACTCTGGGCAACCCAGGGGACTCTGATATGATCCCAAACAATGCCCTGGTGTGGTAAGTAAACTGATACAGGTACAGTGCATGTAATATTTACTGTTTTGTATGATCTGTGCTCTCCTGTGCTTTATATACTGGAGTAGGTCTGTTTTGTCCACTTATTACAACAGTGTCTGCACAATGGATCCTTGATCTGCTCTAGGTATTTAGGCCCTCCTGTAGAATAAATAAAAAATTAATAGTAAACTTCAGTCCTGCTTGTGAGTATCCTTTCTAGCATCCCCCACGTCTGACAGTTTGACTCTCCCTTTGAGGATCCACTTGTTTTTTTAAGTAATTTGAAGGGGAAGATGGGTTTATTTTCTAAAGAAGTATTCCCAAATCTCTTATTAAGGCTCTGTTGGAAATGACTCGAATCAGATAGTTCTTAATTTTACTGTAGTTGTCTTCCAAAGTGGAAAAATAATATTGTTCTGGAATTGGTCTGCCTCCAGTTGGTAGGCAGAACAGGAAGAGCCCCATGTCTGGATATAGAGGCTCCTAGGAAGAAAATACACAAGTAAGACTGCATTTTCACTTCAGTTTCTTGCTAACACTCCTAATATATCAGAAGCTTGTTTCAGATGGTGTCAGATTTTCATATAAACCTGTAATCTTTCCTGAACCTCTTAAAAAAGCAGAACAACGCTTGAAGCAGAACAACCTGGAACAACGCTTCCTCAGCTCTCGTACACTCACGCCCCTTCTCTACCTACGCTACATTGATGACATCTTCATCATCTGGACCCATTGGAAGGAGACTCTGGAAGAATTCCACCACGATTTCAACAGCTTCCTCCCCACCATCAGCCTCAGCCTGGACCAATCTACACGGGAGGTCCACTTCCTAGACACCACGATACAAATAAGTGATGGTCACGTTAACATCACCCTATACCGAAAACCCACAGACTGCTATGCCTACCTTCATGCCTCCAGCTTCCATCCCGGACACACCACACGATCCATCGTCTACAGCCAAGCGCTGAGGTACAACCGCATTTGCTCCAACCCCTCAGACACAGACCAACACCTACAAGATCTTCACCAAGCATTCTCAAAACTACGATACCCACACAAGGAAATAAGTAAACAAATCAACAGAGCCAGACATGTACCCAGAAGCCTCCTGCTACAAAACAAGCCCAAGAAAGAAACCAACAGAACTCCACTGGCCGTCACCTACAGTACTCAGCTAAAACCTCTCCAACGCATCATCAGTGATCTACAACCCATCCTGGACAACGATCCCTTGCTTTCACAGGCCTTGGGAGGCAGACCAGTCCTCGATCACAGAAAACCCACCAACCTTTAAGCATATTCTCACCAGCAACAACACACTGCACCATAGTAACTCTAACTCAGGAACCAATCCATGCAACAAACCTCGATGCCAACTCTGCCCACATATCTACACCAGCAACATCATCACAGGACTTAACCAGATCAGCCACAACATCACCGATTCATTCACCTGCACATCCACCAATGTAATATACGCCATCATGTGCCAGCAATGCCCCTCTGCTATCTACATCGGCCAAACTGGACAGTCCCTACGTAAAATGATAAATGGACACAAGTCAGATATTAGGAATGGCAATATACAAAAACCTGTAGGAGAACACTTAAATCTCCCTGCACACACAATAGCAGATTTAAAGGTAGCCATCCTGCAGCAAAAAAACTTCAGGACCAGACTTCAAAGAGAAACTGCTGAACTTCCGTTCATTTGCAAATTTGACACCATC